TTCATACCTACCCTTAGGGAGTAGAATGGGATATTAAAGTTTGCTGTACGAAAAAATTTTGCTATAACATCTCGAAGTATAAAACTCTTTTTAGTGCCATCATTGTCATCAATAATATGCACTAAATATTTCTTACTCAAACCATCTCTCTAGGGATAAAAAATAACCTATAAATAGAGTATTAGTACTCTTATAAGTCTTATACTGACGTCTTTTATTGCATTTCAGAGGAAAAATTAAAACAAAAGAACAATTTTTAAAGGGGTATATCAAGAAAATTATTGAGAATTGAAAACTTTCATCTTAAATATTGTTACGTTTTTTCGTCGGTTCCGTGTGGATAGAAAGTCACAATTTATTTAAACACTATTTATTTACACTAATTAACAAAAACAATAACGATAAAAGACTTAAAGAACTATTTACAAACGATTTACAATTATTTATCTAGAAAGAATTTATTTTGAATTTCGCGCGTCAACTGTACTCGTCTTATTTATATCTGCCCCTTCCGGCCCCAGCCACCGGCTTTTATACCCGCAGCTAAAGATGTCTCGAATAGTCCATAGATCGTTAGGTGCATAGAGAAGGTTTCGAATGTTCTCGTATGTACTACTCCATTCCAGTGGAACTCGATTCTTCTCGAACGAATGAATCATTACGGTGTCTATTCTTTAATGCGATGTTAAGGTCATCTGAGGGCGGGACATATAGTTAGGTTAGGTCGAGTCCACACGGGTCCGCAACACTGCCCCCGTCTTAGGTACATGCTCGTCCCGAGATGTACACGGTGAATGAAGGTATTTGCAAAGCTGGCCCCTGGTACATTGAGAAGTCTGGTAGAAATAGCAGTGTACAGTTTTCTCTCCCGATCTCAGTTTTGGGTTGTAGCAGCAAACGAGGATCTCGATTTCCGTAAATCTAAACAAGATTTCAATCATGTTCCGGATTGTACGCCAATTCAAACCATCGAGTCCACACGCCAGCTTCGGAATGGCTAATCGTGTAATGTTGTTGTTTAGCAGGGCTTCTCTCAGTTCAATAAGGGTCTTCCATTGATTGAGATAAGTCGGCTTACTCGGGGACCATTCCTTGGTGACCAGGTAGAAGATGTGTCTTGCTTGAACATGTGCATTGTCGGTTAGCCTCAAGACGCTTCCAACCTCTGGATCCTGTCGGCGTAGTTCTCGGACACGCCCAAACTTCTCATTGAACGTCGCAGTGATTCCTCGGGACATTCGCAAATATCGGGCCACACAGTGAGCGAGCGAACAATCAGGAGGCATGGAAAAGACGTCTCGTTGTTCTTCTTTGGTTACACCATAGCGACCTTCTCACTGCTGTTGTATCGGGCCATGAAATCATCAAAGGACATCTCCGAATCAGGGGGATCAAAGCTGCAGGTTCTCACGATCCCAGCACGATCTTCTAATTCGCCTTGGTAGGGGCTCAAACGGTTGAAATGAACTATCTTCGGTTTTCCTTTTGGCAATTTTCTGATACGGTATACAACGCCATTAATCCTATCCATGACTTCGTATGGGCTTTCCCACGAGGATTGTAGCTTCGGAGATAATCCATGACGTCTCTGCGGGTTGTACAGCCACACCAAATTCCCTGGTTGGTATCCCCCATGCTCAGCTTGAATGTCGTAGTGCTCCTTCATTCGGTCACTAGCGCTTTGAATATTTAGGCGGACTCGCTGATGGATGTCGTCCATCCTTTGACGTAGTCTGTGGACATAATCTTCTCCAGCAACATCTAAGCCCGTTCGGCAACCAAACTTCAGATCACGCACTTCCCGTCCCATAACGATGCTGGCTGGATTTTGCCCTGTGGATTCTTGGACGGATGAGCGGTAGGCCAACAGGAACAGGTGAAGAAATTTGTCCCAGTCTCTTTGGTGGTCAGAGACTACTCTGGCCAAATAACGGTTGATGGTTCTGTTCATGCGTTCAACCATCCCATCGGATTGTGGATGTAGAGCCGTCGTCCTGGTCTTGCGGATGTTAAGGACTTCACAGACGCCTTGGAACAGATTGGACTCAAAGTTTCTTCCCTGATCGGAATGAAGCTCTATGGGAACACCAAACCTGCAGATCCATTCTTTAACAAGGGCATCAGCAATGGTGGACGCTTCTTGATTTGGCAACGCGTAGGCCTCGACCCATTTGCTGAAGTAATCCATTACTACCACAATGTATTTGTTGCCATCGTTCGTCTCTGGGAAAGGACCAGCCACGTCGATCGCTATTCGTTCGAAGGGACTGCCTACATTGTACTGGCGCATTGGGGCATTACCGCGCTTTTGTGGCCCATTGATGGCAGCGCAAACGTCACATTTCCTGCACCAGGCCCTCACATCTTCTTTGCAGTTCACCCAATAGAACCGTTCACGCAGCTTGCCAAGTGTCTTGGTAACACCAAGATGTTCACCGCTGGTTCCATTGTGAACTTCCTCCAAGACTTCCGGGATCCTCTTCTTTGGAATGACGATCTGTCTTCTTTCTTCTTGTCCCTCTGGTCTCTCGATCACACGGAGAAGTAGATAATCCGTTATCTATTACCAAGGAATTCCACTGGGCCCAGTACGACTTCACGTTCGGCGAATATCTGCAAACTTCCTCCCACGTTGGTCTTTGGTCTGCATTTTTCCAGTTAATTACTAAACCTAATTCTGGGTCATTGGTTTGGTTATTTGCAAGATCTTCGGGTTGCCAAGTATCATTAACCACAGTTGTTCTTAGGAGTTTCGCTTCTTTCTCTTCTGCTCGGGAACAATGCTTACATTCCTTATCGCAAGGTCTTCTGGAAACTGCGTCGGCATTTCGATGGATTGCCCCAGCTCGATGTTCTGTGTGGAAGTCAAATTCTTGTAATCGTTCGATCCATCTAGCTACCTACCCTTCAGGATTCTTAAACTGCAACAGCCATTTCAAAGCAGCATGGTCTGTTCTTAACAAGAACTTTCTTCCATAGAGATACTTGTAGAAGTGTTCCACTGCTTTAACTACGGCTAGGAATTCTCGTCTTGTCACGCAGTAGTTCTTTTCCGGTTTTGACAAGGTCTTACTAAAATAACCAATTACTTTTTCTTGACCATCCTGGATTTGAGACAGAACAGCGCCTAATCCAACATTGCTAGCGTCGGTATCCAATAGTATAATAACTAGTCAGGGCCTTCTTCAATGTTCGGAATGCCTCGTCAGAATCTGAGTCCCAAGAGAAACGCCTCTCGCCTTCGGTAAGTCTGGTTAATGGTTTAGCGATGGTGGCAAAACCCTGTACATAACGGCGATAGTATGTGCATAGCCTCAAAAAGCTTCTGAGTTCATGTTTGTCTTTGGGTATCGGCCACTCTTCCACTGTCTTGGTCTTCTGTGGATCTACCGCAACTCCCTGGGAGGAGACCACATGGCCCAAGTAGTGTACCTTTTCTTGACACAGATGACATTTCTTAGGGCTAAGTTTCAAACCAGAGCTCGCAAGTCGCGTGAAAACTTCTTCCAAATTCTTCAGATGATCGTTGAAGGGTTTCCCCACCACTATAATGTCATACAGGTACACTAAACAGGTGGTCCAGGATAGTCCCTTTAACACAGACTCCATTAGTCTTTCAAAGGTAGCTGGCGCGTTGCACAATCCAAAAGGCATGACGGTAAATTGCCACAGTCCGGAGCCCACCGAGAACGCTGTCTTCTCCCTGTCTTTAGGCGCCATGTCGACTTGCCAATATCCACTCTTCAGATCCAAGGTAGAGAATATTGTCGACCCTGCCAACGTGTCTAGTGTATCATCTATCCTCGGCAGGGGATAGCTATCCTTCTTGGTAACATTATTGAGCTGCCGATAATCAACACAGAACCTGGTGGTACCGTCTTTCTTCTTTACTAGTACTACCAGCGATGTCCACGGGCTGTTAGATGGTTCGATGACACCTTCTTCTTTCATTTCTCGAAGGATTTTGTCAGCTTCTTCACGTTTGGCGAGCGGTAGTCTTCTTGGATTTTGTTTGATTGGTCGTGCATCTCCGGTGTCAACCATCCTTTATACCCAGGGTAAGAAGAATCAAGTTTGTATACTCTTGCAGGTATAGTAATATTGCTTTAGAGGTTACTCTAAAGCAATATTACTATACCTGCTTACTCTCTGCTAACGACATCAGCGTTATGCGTCTGGCTTCCCTCTTAACCTAATCAATAAACGTGCAACCCATCGCACTTCCAGTTACTGGTGACATTCCTAGTGGTACTGCTGTCGTGTCCGGATGGGGATCACTCGGACCTCCAAATAACGTTGCTCCCAACAATCTTTAGTTTGTTGAAGTTCCGCTCTTGTCTAAAGATGGTAAGTAAAGAATATGAAATAATATAAATCGATACTAACAGTTTATTCCTCAGACTGTGCCAGTTTAATAGCGTATCTCTCTGGAATGGATAATCCCGTTCAGAACCGCTTTTAACCTTTGCACAACTACTTATCCTTCCCGCACCGAAGCTGTTTGCAATAGTGACAGCGGTGGCCCATTAGTACACAACGCCCGTTTAGTCGGTATTGTTTCCTGGGGATACACTCCATGCGAAAACCCTGGATTCCCGTCCATATACGTCGATACTGCTGCTTACATATCGTGGATACAACAAACCACTAACAACCTATCGGATTAGTGCAAACTCTGTTCGTTTATTTTATTTAATTTAAAGAAAAAAAAATTGAAAATTAATTATTACTTTTTATATATTTTTTTTTATATTTCACCCCCAATGGCCGCAATAATTGTAGATTGAATAATGAATAGTATTAAAATCGAAAACAGTTTATGCTATAAAACAATTATATACATATGAGTTTCTTCTGGTTTGGCAATGCAAATTTTAAACTTAGTTTAAATATGAACTCACACTGAACCGAGTGTAAACGACCGACGAACTGTATTAGATCATATTAGACAAAGGAACGATTTATTTGAAAAAATGTTGCGTATATTACCAAAATCTTACCTATAGTAGGTTTCACGATTACTGTAGGAATCTTGGACCCTAATAATTCATTTATACAATGATCTGCCAAATGTTTCGTATATGTATAAGTATTCGGATACTTCCCAACAATTTTGTGACTTAAGATGTTTAGTAAGTTTTCATCGCATTTTTCAGCAACGTAGATTGTTTCTTTCCAGTCAGCTATTGCTGGAATCAACTCTTCTGGAACTGTCTAAAATAACCTCTAATAAATAACTCAGTCATACATTGTTGTATTTTATATCAAAATATGGCCAAAAATATTTGGGGGTTCTGTATATTAATCTGAATCAAGGAGTGTCTCACTTGGGTAAAACACGCACTACCAAAATTTTTTTTGCCAAGCGATTGCTAATGACTGCGAAGAAGATTGCCTATATGTCAATCTAAATCTATACCTGCTGTTTCTCAAAAGTGGCTCACCCCTATAACTTTTTATTTTTTTTAGATAGAAATATACATGATTTGGTATGTTAGTATATGACATAAATTAGGATTGTTTGACGTATTCAAATGTTTTTGTCACTTCCTGTCATAAAACATCCCCCTTTAGAACTTCGTCTGTAATGTTAAGAGATGAAAGTAAATAATAAAGCGCCTCTCGTGTTTGTTCGCACTCAAAAAAATTCAATTAATACCTGTACATATTTTTAATATATTTTTTAAATTTACATTTTTTTAATACGCTCCATTAGTGTGACGTCATGTAGCCGAAGGTCAAGTGTCGCAAAATCCAAACAAAGCAAGAATATAATGGGATAATCTAATTTTTCTTAATTTTTTATTATATTACTCTGTTCAAAGGATATTTTTGTCTTTCTGAGTGAGTATATACGCGTTTACCATAGGTATAATTACATAAAAGGATGCATATAGGGATAAGTAATATGAGGTTATGTTAAAACAATAAAGAACACAAATCTCCATAGTATTATAGAATTTATTAACTATAGAGTGCACTGGTACGGTTCAAAATTAAATGTACTTACTTGGAAAAATACAATTATCCTGAAGAAAACAGAATAACGAGAAAAAAACGGATTACTAGTGGGTTAATTCACGCTTTGTTTAGATTTGACTTTGTTTTTGATTTGCGACACTGACATTCCGCAGCACGACGTCACCACTAATAGAGCGTATTGTAAAGTAATATATTACATTTAAATTGAATATATTACATAACAATTATGTCAATTACAGAATTACAAGCTTGTTTTCTAACATTTTTTAAATAAAACGAATTATAAAATTTCAATATATGTATATTTGTCGTAGGTATGGAAAAAGTAAAATATAAAATGGGACAAACACTTACTTACATTGCAATAAAACTTCCACTTTTAGTTTTGCAATCCAAAAGCAATGTTTCTATTTCACAAATAAACATATCCGACAACACTAAAATCACTGAAACTTCCACGGCTAACAACGAAAACTAAAAAATATAACGGCACTTTTTGTTTTGGACATGCATATCAACATTACGCTGTACTATTATGTGTTTGTTGTTGAAATAATATAAAATATCTAATTATAACTTGTAAATTTGAATGTTTTAACATGATTTTAACTACTTTTGAGAATAACCAAAAGAATAACTAACCATAGATAAATGCAACAAGTTTAGATTGGAAAGCCCGTAAAAATTTTGGGTCGCGAAATTATTTTGGGTCGCGACCGTTATACGCGATCTGGCGCTGCTATAGCGGTCGCTAAGAACAAGGGCAAACAAAAACAGAAATAATTTTCTCTTGTCAAAGTCAGAATCTTCAAAAATCATAATAATCTTTCAAAATCTAAACCGCTCTCATTAAAGAAATTCCGAAAAGTGTTTAGAGCGTCCATTTTCAAAGTAATTATTGCTATCTTGTGAGTTTAATTCAAGTTTTATTTACTCCAACCGGTGATAATTGTGAAAAAGTGGCATTAAAAACTTAAAAAGCTGTGCTGTGAGCTGTGAACTGCAAAAACCATCGTGGATCGTGGCATAACATCGGTTTCCAATGTTTCATAGGTATTTCATACATGCGTCCTTATATTATTATAAAATAAAGTTTCTTGTATGCAACACACTGTATTTTATTTATAAAATTAAACGAAAATAATAATAAATTTGAATAAACAATATTTGGCGATATAATTCCGGAAAAAGCCGAACCGCTCCGAAATTTTCAAAAGTTTTGGGTCGCGACCGTTGCAAGAATAGCGCCAAATAGTGTTTACATTGTCCTTACGGGCACTTTCCAATTTAAACTTGTTTCATTTATCTATGTAACTAACTGTTTGTCATCAAGATGACATTTTAGACGGCAACTGACATATATGTCATAATATTTGAATCTTAAATATGTATGTAATATAATTTAAATTACTATATTGCAACTTTATACTAAGAAAACATTTATACATTCACAAAATACAACAAAGTCTAATAATATAGTTTGAAAACAATGAATATTGAATTAAAATTGAAAAAGTTAAGCGCGACTCCTTCTGTCAAAATTAGATGATTAAATTTTCGCAATTTTTACACCATTTGATGACCGGTGGCGCCTCTAGTGTTTGTTCGGGCGGTTGGTCTTTTACTCCTGCTTATGGCCGTTAAAGAAAAAGTTCTAAAGGGGGATGTGTTGTGCTTCCTGTTTTACCGGAAACGACTACAACTTTTGATTTTTAAATGACACCCTCAATATATTTCTACTTTATTCGATAGAAAATGACACTCTGAATAGAATGATATATGACATGTTAACTTTTGACATTTTCGCTTAAAAAATCGTATTTTAAATGTCGATGTTAGATGTCAAAACGCTAATTTTTTATCAAGGAGCTTTTGAAAAATAGATTTCATCGTTTAATATTTTTTGGTGTCCTGTCCGGTTAAAAAGTTGGCCAAATTGTATTTATAATCATATCTCAATTTTTATTTCAAATATAACGAGGGTGGCTCATTAGCAAATCTAGACAAAGCATTTTATTACGAATAATTTGATGCCACATTATACTTGGTATTTTGAGTCAAATTGTCGTTCTTGGGCCTTCTTAAACAGGCATAAGAACGTGTAATTTTCAAACTATTGCTTATTTGATCTGATAAACTACCTAATTACTTAGCTGTTAAGGTAAATTAATTGCTAGTTAAGTTTTTTTAAGTTTGAAATTTCGACTTATAATCAGATTTATAAAATTCCGAAATATTTGTCTGTACAGGGTGGTCCGAATTGTATTCCGGAAAGATGATTCTTCGGCAGCATATTCTGCAGAAAAAAATAAGTAAAAAAGTTCCTATCATGGGCGTAGTCAGGGAGGGGCAGGGTGGGGCGCTTGCCCCCCCCTGGACGGATCCTATTAAAAAAAATAAAATTATATAACTAAAAAAATTTAAATTCAAATGATCCTACCCTATTTACTTCCATGTTACTTCCTTAACCTCTTAACTGGGTATGACAGATACATTCGCATCCTAAAAAATTTGATTTTGCGGATGTGAATTACAACCCTTTTAAAAACACACCGGGAAAATGTTAATGACGAAAACGTAAACATAATAAAAAAAGCCGAAAAAATTGCAGAGGCCATTAATACGGATTTTAAAATGCCGAGGGTTACAAATCGACAAACGCTTCGTGCAAATCCTCCAGCAGGTTCTTCTTTCGAGTACTGGACGAGATCTTTCATAATTCCGTATCTGGATTCATTGATAATGTCTTTAGAACAGCTATACTCTAATGAAAATCTGCCAGCCTACGAGTTGCTTTCATTACACCCTAATATTTTTCTTGCTTTACCATTTGCTGAGTTTAAAAAAAAAAAGATTTTTTTTAAATCTTTTGTGACTACTACAACTTAAACGAGATTTTGTCTGAAGTGGAACTATGGTATAATCTGTAGAAAGAAAAAAAAAATGTTAGACTCGGAGTTAAAAGAAATTGACCTAGTTGAACTAGTTAAAGAGGCGCAATCTTTTTACCGAGGCATTAAAAAAGCGCTCCAAATTTTACTCGCGCAACCTTGCACTACCTGCACAATAGTAAGATCATTCAGCACCTTGCGTCGGGTAAAAACTTGGTTACGGTCAACAATGTCGGAACAACGACTTGTTGGACTTTGCATGATGAGCGTCCATCGAAAAAGAGTTTTAAAAGCGAAGGATCAGTATGAAAAAGAAATTTTGTTCAAGTTTAGCCAGAACTCGAGAAAGTTAATGCTAAAATAAAATACTTACAAATTATAAACCCAACATGTTTTTTTAATAAATTTTTTATGTTATGATGAATTTCCTTGTTTTCTTGCCCCACCCTGGGGAACACCCTGGCTACGCCCATGGTTCCTATAAATGTATGTCCTAAAATGCTTAGTTTTTGGAGATACAGGGTGTAGAAATTTCCTTTTTATTTCGATTTTTTCCAAATAATTTCTGAAGTAACGTCAATATATGGATGAAAATTCAAAGATGAAAATTGGTGTCTGGAAGTTTATTGACATGAAAAAATTGATTTTGATGTCAATATGATTCCTACTAGTAGAGGGCGCCACTTACATATTTTTTAACTGGTTTGAAGGTTTGAAGAGTAATAACTTTTCGTTCGTACTTGTATAAAACTACTGAGTAAAAAAATATACATTTACGACATTTTTTACGTAAGAAAGGTCTCTTGGTAAAAATCGGTACGAGTAATGGTTCTCGAGATATTTGGAATCGAAATTGTCAATACCTGTCATCATTGAAATAAATTAAACGTGACGACTAAATAGTTACTAAAATTGAAATAATAAATTTGAGATGTTATTGTACCATGGTATAAAGAAAACAAGGTATGATCGATAGCGGGTCCAATTTCGTTCAGTTTGCGCATACCACCTGTGACGTCATACGCGATACAAAAAGATATCCATATTGTTCAATTGCCACTAATAAAAAAAGACCTAAAAGAGGGAAGAATTAGGACATAACCCCAAAAGTTATGTCAAATCATCGAGCTTGACATTTGAAAAATTATTTTCACATTTTGACACAATTAAATTTCACAGATGACACATGACAGATGACATCTGTTTGACAATTTGAAATTGGCGCGCAGAGCTTGCCGACCAATGGTGCCGTTTATCATCTGTGACGTAGTGACCAACCTGCGCAATATCATACCTTTTATTCTTTGTATCATGTTATTGTACCATAAGTTCACTAGAAAC